AAAAAAATTCTCTCTCTCTCTCTCTCTCTCTCTCTCTCTCTCTCTCTCTCTCTCTCTCTCTCTCTCTCTCTCTCTCTCTCTCTCTCTCTCTCTCTCTCTCTCTCTCTCTCTCTCTTAAAAAAAAGAGTTTGGGCACCCAGTAATTCTTTGTAAAAAAAAAAAAAAAAAGAGAGAGAATTTCAATTTAGGGTAATTCATCTTGCACTGCTATGGAATGGATTAATTTCTGAAGAAGAAACTATAGGAGGGAAGATCCCTTAGAAGCTGATAAGGGCTTAAGAGTTGGAATTAGGTCCTTCAGGATCAATGGAAGTAATGAATGGTTTAAACCTCGTTCATACAGGAAAATCAACATTTCTCAAATGTTTTTTTCTTCGCCAGAGGGTTTGTTTCCTAGTGTTTTCAGATTCAAAGTGACCTCTGCTGACACCTAACCTGATAAAGGAAGCTTTAAAAGTAACACACTATGACACAAGTTATTTTTATGAATAATATTATAATGTAAGCAAAGAGTAGAATTCATTTTGGCAGTCTTTAGAGAATTCAGTAGGTTTTCTGTGTGTCTTGAAATGCCATTTATGTTGTTCTATAGAAGAAACAGTTTTCCCTATTTTACCTTAACAAGATGTTTAAAACTTTGGATTCTCTGATTTTAAGATTATTTGTTTTCCAGCCTGTTTATCAAAAAGTAGCAGTGGCTAGGATTGAGATTTACATTCCCCAGGTATCTGAATTTAGAACAAAGAAATCCCAGACAAGAATTTTCTTTGTTCTGGGCTAGGGATACGGCTCAGTTGGTAGAGTGCTTGCCTAGCATGCATAAGACCCTGGGTTCAATCCCCAGCACCAAAAAAAAAAAACAAAAAAAAAAACAAAAAACTTTTTTCTAAATTAACCTACAGTTCCCCAACCTATTCCATTTCGAAATGTACATATTTCCATATATGTGTGTGTGTATATATATATTTAACTTTATTTTATTTATTTCTATGTGGTGCTGAGGATCAAACTTAGTATCTCACATTTGCTAGGTGAATGCTCTACCACTCAGCCCCAGCCCCCCATTTCTTCCCTTAAAAAATATTTTTTTAGTTATAGTTGGACACAATACCTTTATTTCACTTATTTATTTTTATGTGGTGCTGAGGATCATCAAACCCAGGTCTCAGGTCTCACACATGCAAGGTGATCTTTCTACTGCTGAGCCACAACCCCAGCCCATTTCTTTCTTTTTAATTTCTCTTAAAGACAGAAGATCTCACAAGGAATCAAATGACACAGAATAAGTGTTTGGCATCTAGACTTAGTGGCCCGCCCTAGCATACTCTCTCCCTTATGATTGGTCATAAGTTCTGTGACAGATTTGGAGGGCCTTGGAATCTAGTGGGGCCTCCTCCAAAAGGACACAACCTTAGTCAACCAATTAATCTCCCCCAAACATTTAATTGAGCAATGGTTATCTGTTGCCCAAGGTGAGGATTTATCTAACTTGAACTCTGTTATGTGAAGCTAAGGTCAATACTAAACTGATCTTTGAGCTTCTTAGGTCCCCCACTTGTTCAAAAGAGTATTTGTTCAGCACACATTTAGATTCTTGAGATTCAGCTGAATTCCAGTTGTAACCTTTAAGATGGGCATATTGCTAGAAGTAGAACCTGCTCTTTCATTACCAAGCCATTTAGCTTTTTCTTTCTTTTCTTCCTTAGTGTGGCACAGAGAATCTAACTCAAGGTCTCATACATGACAATATAAGCACTTTATCACTGAGCTACATTCCCAACCCACCTGGTTCCTCAAGAAATCTCAAATTGAGTTCAAACAACAAAAATTCTCAGATCTGTCCCCCTTTCACCTCTCTTCTTTCTCACCAAGAAGAAAATAGAAGATTTGTTACAGATTTCAAACATCTAAGACTCAAATCTTCAGTATTATCTTTCTCCATAGCAATTTTACACAAATTTGGGAAAATAAGTATAATCCTGGGCCTTCACAATGATTTCATTTGTTCCCATTCAATAACTGTTGGGAAAATAATTACTGAGGCAAATATTGTGTTCTGACCTGCTTTAGAGCCTGCTCTGTATAACTGAATGGAGTGGTTCAGACCTATCTTTTACTTTCTTACTCTTGCAAAATGTTTAAAAATGCCAGTTTGCTGCACCCTGTGGTGTGTGCCTATAATCCCAGCTACTCGAGTCCAGGCAGAAGGATTACAAGTCTGAGGTCAAGCTGGCAATTTAGAAAGACACTGTCTCAAAATAAAAAATAAAAAGGGCTGGGGATGGGCTCAGTGGTAGGACATTCCTGGGTTCAGTCCCCAGTACTACAAAAACATTAAAAATTAATTTTAAGACTAAAAAGAGGAAGAAAGAAAAGACAAAATGATTTAGAACCAAGAATAAGAGTGGAGAGGTTGTTATGCTCGAATTCAGGACCCCCAAAAGACCACCAGAGACCAAGATCGATGTAAGCAGCAAAGAGGTGTTTATTGTGAGCTATCTGGTTTCTCAAGGTCTGGGGGTATAGTTTAATGGAGGAGCACTTGCCTAGCATGCATGAGGTCCTAGATTCAATCCCCAGTATTGGGAGGTGGGGGGAGACATTTTGTGACAAAAAATAATAAATAAAAGTCAAAGATTTAAAAAGAAGAAGAAGAAGAATCATCATCTAGAGGTAAAGAGGGCATCATCGTTTTCCTACTATAAGCTGCACTGTGATTCATGTTATATTACATATTTATGTGTGGCTAAGTTTAATTTTAAAGTTGAAGCAGTTTTAAATATTGTTCTACTAGGGCTGGGGTTGTAGCTCAGTGGTAGAGTGCTTGCTTAGCATGTGTGAGGCACTGGTATCAATTCTCAGCACCACATATAAATACACAAAAAATAAAGGTCCAACAACAACTAAAAAAATTTAAGAAAAAAATTTCTACTAAACACAACTTTGTTGTTCTGTAGGACTACATATTGCTGCTGAAAGCACGGCCCTTGTCCTTGATGCCAATCCAATAATGAGGACAAGGCTATGAGAAAAAGGAAAAAAAAAAAGTGTATTGCTTTGCTAGCAAAGGAAGAAACACAGGGACTCCTGTCCCAAAGGCTGTGATTCTGCCCATCCACAAGAATGGGGGTTTTTACAAAGGTAATTCAGAGAAAATGAGATTAGGGAGGAGAGGGGGAGGGGAGGGAAAGAAGATCAGGGAGGAGAAGTTTAGGGAAAAGAAGATTGGGAAAAAAGAAAAAAACATGTAAGTTTCAAAGCCAAAAGAGATATGTTACAATATCACTTTAACTTTTAAAGTATACACAGGGTTTCAAAAACATGCAAAACAAAGAAAGTAAACTCTAGCCATTTTTTCATTGATTACATTCTAAAAATATAATATTTCTGTTATATTTGGTTCAATAATTACTACAATTAATTTCTTTTGTTTCTTTTAAAATTTTTAATATGCCTACTAGAAAATATAGTATGCACAATGGCTTGCATTATATTTCTGTTGGACAGCACTGCCATATAGGGATATTCTTTTTTTCTTTGGCTTCTAAGTTTAGTTGCTGTGGTAATTAATGGGGCTTCTGGCTGCCTGTTTCCTGGAAAGGATGAAATGGGGGAGGAGAAGTGTGATCTCAGGGATAGTTTTCTTTGATGTCATATTTCACTCCTCTTCAATTCTCTCTCAGCTAAGGATCGAATTTATAAAGTATCCTTATTTAAGGAAAACAGAAAATATAATCTGATTTGCTTTAGGTCCAGGACCAAAATTCTGAAGGAAGATGACCTTTCCCCATCTCACCATCTAGAAAAATTTTAACTATTTCACCAACTTGCTTCCCCCCACCTCTCACCCCAGTCTCTGGGTACTGAAGGTTGCTTGGCTACAAATTAATGGGCACAGGAATTTGACCATTGATGTTTCCCCTCCAGCAAAGCCTTGATATTATCTCTCACTTACACAACTGTTTAACCACAAACTAAATTGTTTGCTTTGTTTACTTTCATACTGGAGCCACTCTTCTCTCCTATTCATTATCCTTCATCTTCTTCAATTCTCATTTTTCTCATTTTTTCCTATTCATCTTGTTTGTTTTTTGTGTATAGTGCAGTAATCAGATATTTATCTCAAACTTTTCTTTCAAGAAATTCACAGCCCATAACTAATAAGATATTAATAATCCTTTCCAGGTGTGTGAGAATCATTAACCCTTGTCCCCTTTTTTTAGTTTAAAATTTTTTAAAATTATGTATTTTTAGATGTAGATGGACAAAATACTTTTATTTTTTTATTCATTTATTTTTATGTGGTGCTGGGGATGGAACCCAACAGTTAGTCTGACTCCTAGAAATTCAGGTTTCATCCATCCTAGGTGAGATTATGCTAATCAGAAGACAAGTAGAGCTAAAAACTGGTCAAAATTCTTCTCACAATTTTTTTTTTTTTTTTTTTTTTTTTTGGCCAGATTGACCTTACTTTCTTTTCAAGATTTGTACACCCAACCTATAATTTAAAAAGCAGCTGATAAATTATAGGATTATGAATTCTTTCTGCTTACAGTCTTTCAAACCGTTTTAAATCTGATAGAAGCGCCCATTCAATTTTGCCTTTTATAGATACATTTATTTTCTCTTTGTAGATTGATTCAATTCCGAGCAGATTCAAGAGCTAAAAGTCATGTATTTGCCCTCCCTCCAGTCTTTTCTGGTAGCATTTTGTCTGTGAAACTAAGAGGCTGTAACTGCTATTAGAAAAAGGAAGGGATCTGGATGAGCTTTAAAAAGAGAAAGAAAAGAGGGGGTGGAGAGTGACAGGATGTGGTTTTAAAAGGGATGGGGTAATTGCCTGGAAGGGGGAGGGGGCTGAGGGTGTGGAGAGGAGCTCCGAAGTTCTGATAACGCAGTTCGCTAAATTCCTGAGGTCGGATTATTTGGGGGCGGGGTAGTTTGTGGGTCGGGGATGGGGTTAGGGGCGGAGAAAGGTTTACGAGCTCCACCTTTTGCAGAGATTATAAATAGACTTGCTCCAAACCAGAGCTAGAGATGCTGTATTGGTGAGAGTGGGTACCGATCGCAGCTGAAGACCTGAAGAGAACTTGCTGCCGAGGACATTTTGAAGGTTTTGTTGGCTGGAAGAGGCGTCTCTGGAATTCCATCCCAGATCTTTCTTCAGGATTTGAAGAAAATTAAATTAGGACCATGGGGACACAGAAGGTAAGGATGATACTGTTATTTTGGCTTGTTTGTGGTACTCGGAGGACGGCAAATCTAGATGCCGATTACCGTGTTCTGTTTTATTTTAACTCACTAAGCCATCTTAAGGCCTTTTTTTCATTTCTCCTTCAGCCTGTGAAGCAACAATTTAACCAATTCTCTCTGAATGTCACACATGATAAAGAGAATATCCTGCTTCCATTCACCTTTCTCTCATAGCAAAGTCACTGCAGAAGTTTTGTTTGCTTCTTAATTTTATTTTACATAAGTATACCATGAGATGGTTGAGTAGTCAGAGGATTAGGGCTGCTGATTGTGTGGCTTAAAGTGTGGGTCTCAGATCCAGCAAGAAGACTCTGGTTGGTTTGGGAATACAGGTCATGTGTCCAGCCCTCTGTAACCTTATGGAATTCCTTGAATAAGAGAATTCCAGTTGTCATCATTGTGATTGTGAGTGCAGGATATATTAATATATTATTCTGGGTGGTGTATGCAGTATTTGTAGGGGAGAAAATCATTTGCACTAAGATAAAATTATTTGAAAATAAAGGAAATTAGGGAAAAGGGTTGAAAGGAGATGGGACAAAAAAAAAAAAAAAAAAAGGCTCTCATGATGGTGAGAGGGGAACCATGGGGTTTTACTAAAAGGAAAAGGATTTAACAGAAAGAGCTTTGTAGCAGCAGAGTCCTGAGGGGTGCTTCTGCTCAGTGGGCCTGAGGCGGCTGCCACCAATCATGGGGAAGGTCACTTCGCCTACAGAAGCTCCCAGCCTGTCACCTTGTCTGACCTAAGTGAAAAGGAGTTTAAAATAAGAAAAGATTGAAGACATTGTGAGGGAGCCTAGGAGGATGGCCTCACATGTAAGATTCGAGCTGCCCACTTGCTGTCTTGAATAATTTCCCAGCTAGGTGAGAGATGATTGGTTGATTCTCCCTCTAGGAGATGTTTCCTAATGTTGGATGTAAGCAAGTATCCTCCCTTGCTATACTGTAGCAATATAGTATTTAGTAACCAGGCCAACTTGGGGCCAGCATGTAGCACATGTCTATAGTAGGTTACAAGATCCACAGGTAAGAGCAGCCCAGTGATGAACCCACCACCACTTCTGTGTATTTATTCTAGGGTACTGCTAAGAATACACTGGATCTGTTTGCAAAATAATCAGTTCTTAGGAATCCCAAGGATATCTTTTCTTCTGCCCTTCCAATCCTGGACTTCAGTTCTATGCTTGCCTTTTCGTGGTGCAGTTTTTAAAATGCTCCCAAACCAACTAACTCCAGGTCCTCTGAACCTGTTTTCCAATTTTTTCTAAATCTTGTATTTTTGTCCTCTTCCTATCACTCATAGGACAGGTTCTCCTGGTCCATTTCTATAATTGATAAAGAGACAATCATCAGTAAAAAAAAATTGTTTCCTCCCTGTCTTCCTCTACTCAGGTGACCCCATCTCTGATCTTTGCTGTCTCTGTTGCTACAATTGGCTCTTTCCAGTTTGGCTACAACACTGGAGTCATCAATGCTCCTGAGACTGTGAGTACCAGTCGTTTAGATTCTGACTATGGAATAAGGGAAGTATTCTTTTATTTTAAGAAGGGTTTCAAAAAAATTCAGAATTTAAGACAAATTTTTTGTCTTGCCTGGCTAAGACAGAAGAGGGGGAATGTATTGGGAATGTCTAGGTGAGTCACTTAAAGAAAGCAAAAAGCTCATTTGTTCCCCTATACCCTGGGCTGGTCCTTCCTCTTACCCTCTGGTGATAACACTTCCTGTATTATCCCTTGGGGGTTAGTAACAAAGAAGTAGTGGAGGGGGGTGCAGAGGTGGAGGTAGGGGGAAGGGGGGGGGACTCTTAAGAGAGGGCTGGGGCAGACAATATCACTGCTGCCACCTACTGGGATTTTTCAGACATCCCGTGATTCCCTACCTATAAAGCCATAGCAATGCTGTCCTTTTAAGGAGGAAACAATCCCTAATATTTGTCTCTTGTTCTCATCCAACTGTAACAAGTCTGCTCTTCCTCCAACCATTTTATTTTGCAGATCATAAAAGACTTTCTCAACTATACTTTGGAAGAGAGATTGGAAGACATTCCTAGTAAAACATTGCTTACAACCCTCTGGTCCTTGTCTGTGGCCATCTTCTCTGTTGGTGGCATGATGGGCTCCTTTTCTGTTGGACTCTTTGTCAACCGCTTTGGCAGGTATTGACCAGAAATTGGAAGTGGGCTATACAGGTTGCTTTGAGGATAAGCATAGAAAATTAGATCAGGGAGATGATGATCCATCTTAATGAGACTCATCAAAGTCCAATCAATAAATATGTGGTCCACCTGGCTCTGAATATGACTGCTCTTGCTTGAATTTCTACTGCCTTTAACTCCCACCCAGCCTTCAAGAGATGGGCCATGTGAGTGATGGGCCTTTGCAGCCTGGCTTATGTTAATTTGGAATTATTCTCTAGTTTTTATTTAAAAAGTTAGAAGTTGTTTGCTTTTCTAAATAGTTGGGGTTCCATGCAAATCTTTTCATTATTTTATATATTTGAAATATTTCAAAAAATATATTTGAAATCCTTGCTTTCTGGCAAATGTGGATAATGGCCAAGTAATTGAATTTCTCCTTAAAAGAGAAAAATGAATATTCTCACTTAACCGTAGCTTAATAAAACGTTTTAGAGGGTAGGATATTGTCAGTAATGACTGAAGGAACAATTTAGTTTGTCAATTAGATGTTCTAGGGATACAAATAGAATTTAAGTTTGCAAATAAAACACCTATTTAATGTGATGATGTTTAATTCTTATGTTATTTATTCATGTATTTGTTTTTTGTGGTACTGGAGATCAAACCAGGCCTTGTGCATGCTAGGCAAGTGCTCTACCAGTGAGCTACACCCTGAGCCCTTTTTTTGGGGGTGGACGGGTGTGGGGATTGAGCTCAGGGGCATTCCACCACTGAGATACATCCCCACCCCTATTTTGTATTTTATTTAGAGACAGCATCTCACTTAGTTGATTAGCGTTTCACCATTGCTGAGGCTGGCTTTGGATTCAATCCTCCTGTCTCAGCCTCCCAAGCCCCTGGGGTTACAGGCGTATGTAACCACGCCCATATGTAACCACACCCGGCTCCTAACCTCTTTTAAATTTGATTGAGAAAATTCATTGAGTCCTTATGTTGGCCTTGAACTCAAGATCCTTCTGCCTTGGCCTCCCAAGTGGCTGGGATTATAGGCGTGTGCCACGTGCCCAGTGGTCTTTTTTTCATTTGGGGAGGATACCTACATGTTATTAATGTCATTAGTTTTTTTTTAATTTATGTGCTAGGATCATACCCAGGGTCACAAACGTGCTAGGCATCCACTCTACCATTGACCTATACTCCCAGTTTCTAAAGTCATTAAAATTTTAACTTATGCCTATTATTGATTAGCAAAAACAAAAACAAAAATACTAATAGATGGGGGCCAGGGAGACTGCACACTTAGAATTTTCTGGCAGAGCTTTTGAAAGTCCCAGTGCCAGGTCATACACAAGTTAATTATGAGCATGTCTGGGAATGAGATATATGTATTAGTATTTTTGAACACTCTCCAGATGTTCGGTGTGTTGGCACATACCTGTAAACCCAGAAACTCAGGGCTGAGGCAGGAAGATCACAGTTCAAGGCTAGCTTCTGCAATTTAATGAGGTCCTGTCTCAAAACAAACAAAAAAGGCCAGTGAAGTTGCTCAGTGGTAGAGCACCCTGGTTCAATCCCTGTGCTACCTAAGTCTTCATTTTTGTTTTACTGTTTTGGTAGAGGGTGTTGACTCCACTATCTGAGCTACATTCCCAGTCCTTTTTATTTTTTATTTTTGAGACAGGATCGTGCTGAGTTGCAGAGGTTGTTCTCAAATTGCGCCAACTCTCAATATTCATTGTTAATATCATTACCACAGTATAGCGTAGAGACTATTTTGAGTATAATTTTCTGTGATATAGAAAAACTTTTGCCTGAATTAATTTGCTATCATTATAGTATCAGTGATATCTATACATTGCATAAAAGGCATTAAAAAGCACTTAATGGCAACTGGGAATGTAGCTTGGTGGTAGGGTGCTTGCCTAAAATGCATGAGGCCCTAGCTAGGTTCAATCCCCAGCACAGGAAAAGAAATCATTTAATGGGGCTGAGGGTATAACTCAGTGGTAGCATGCCCAAGGACCTGAGTTTGATCGCCAGCAATCAAATAAAATAAAGGTATAAAATGATTAGCACTGATCCAAAAATGTCTCGTGTGTTGGTAGACCAGCTATGTCAGAATTGCTGGCCAAGGGCAATTGTTCTCAAAGTTCATCTTGCATCACATCACCTGGAGGGCTTTTCAGAACACTGCTGGGACATGTCCCCAGAGTCAGATCTAATGATTAAATCTAGATGAAGTGGAAGAGTTAATTTCTAGGAGATTTCTAACTGTTGTTGGCTGGTTAGATCACTTTTTGAGAACTACTTGGTAGGATGCTTACGGAAATCCTAGGTTACAGTGGGGACTTGCACAAAGTCTTAAATGTTCTTTGAGTTTTATGTATGAAGAAGTTTAAAAACCATTGTTCCAACTAGAAATGTTCCAAGAATAGAAAATGGAAAAGAAAATTTAAGCCACAGGAGAAAATAAGAGCCTGCAGAAGGGCAAAACATTGAGGAAAGAAGAGTAGAGATTAGGATCTTCTCACTTTACTAACCTTACTTCTGTCTCTGGTTCACCCGATAGGCGCAATTCAATGCTTATAGTCAACCTGTTGGCTATTGCTGGTGGCTGCCTCATGGGGTTCTGCAAGATTGCTGAGTCCGTTGAGATGTTAAT